GGGAGGGGTCCCCAAAGTGAACGGGGGTGGGCCTAGCCGCCGCAGCCGTCGGCGCGGGCGGGGAACGGTGTGGCCCGTCGCGCGCGGGCCGCGCGTGTGCAAAGTTGTTCTGGGCCGCATCTGAGATCGCGGGATCGCCCCGCCCGCGGCCCGACGGGCAGGGGGCCCGCCCCAAAGCCCGCCGCGACTGGCAACGATCCATTGGGCCATCAGATGATGGGCCCCCGCACAAACGGCTGAGGGCGCGCGCGAGCCGCACGCACGCGTCCTCGCTAACCGCAGAGATTGCTGCTCGGCCGGCCGCAGGGCCCTCTGACGGGCGGCGCTGGTTGCGCCAAGCACCCCACCAGCACCCAAGCACCCCACCTGCACCCAAGCACCCCCACCTGCACTCAAGCACCCCACCTACCCCCAGCACCCCACCTGTGCGCAGACCTCTGTTAGGTCGCTGCCACTGTAGCCCTCTGTGGCGCGCACCACCGCCGACAAGGCGCCCTCGCCGGGCCGGGACCCCGGCACTGCAGACGGCCTGGCATGGGGAGGGGGGGGTAGGGTTGGGAGGGGTCGGTGAGCGGCGTGCGCATGGGTGGGGCGGACGGGAACGGCGTGGGCGGTTCGTCGGAGTGGCGATGGGAAGGAGATGGCGCTGGTGCGCCCGTGCTGCTAGCTGCCGGCGCGAGCCTGGTCCGGCGCGCCACGTCGCCGTGGGGCGTGACTCAAAGCGTTGCAGCCCAGACCCAACGCCAACCCCAACCCACACCCACACAGAAGCCCCAGCCCCCAAGTGTCCTCAAGCAAGCTCCTCACCACCAAGCGCACCCCGACCCCGACCCATCCACGCTCAAATATGCAAGCGCACACTCACACGCTCACACACGTGCGCACGCACGCACGCACACACACACACACACACACACACACACACACACTCCGCCCCCCACCTGTCCTGCAGCAGCGCCGCCTCCACCCCGCCCTCCCCCGGCGCCAGCAGCTGCGCCGCCCGCAGCGCGCGGCTCTCGGCCTCGTGGCGCGCCAGGTGCTTCAGGAGGATCTGGCGCCGCTGCGGGGCGCCCGGCAGGCCCACCTCATACTGCAGGCCGAAGCGCCGCAGCACCGCCTCGTCGATGCACCACGGCCTTTGGAGTTGAGCACGTTGTTGTGGGGGGGTGGGGAGGGTGAGGAGGGGGGGTCGATTGAGAGGTGTGGAGGCCAGGCGAGGGACAGTGGTGGTGGTATGGCGGGTCGGGGGAGGGGTTGTGACGCGGGCGGCCCGGACGGATGCGTATGTGCAGCGAAGGCAGGCAGGCAGCGCCACCGATCGGAGCGCGGGCGCCTGCAGCGGGGACGGCCCGAGGCACGCCCGCATGCTCCCAGGCGGACGCGCGGCCCCAGCCCCTCCCTGTGAGGCATGCACGCGCCACGTGCACGCGCCCGCACGAGCGCAGGGCCTCCTCCGTTGCCACCCGCCTGTTAGTCGCGCCCATGACGAGGACCCTCATGCCGCGCGCGCCCTCTATGCCGTCCCACAGCTGCATGAACTCGGTCTTGGCGCTGAGGGTGGCCTCGTGCTCGCTGGCGCCGCCGCGCTTAGTCAGGAACGCGTCCACCTCATCTGTTGGCGGAGGAGGGGGGACGGGGGCCGGCAAGCCGGGGTTCCAGGAGGGCGGAGGCGGCCGGCACGCGGGGCACCCATAGCACCATAAGAAGATAACATTATTTAAAGACATTTTTTTCTTGCTGGCCGCGGCGTGCTATCGCTGGAGGCTGCGGGGATGGGGGGGGCATTTGGATGCGCCGGGACTGACCAACGGGTTCGTGATGGGAAGGGGTCAGGGGCCGCCGGGGTGCCACGCAGGTCAGGCGCCGGGGGCGGGTTTCGGTGGGAACCCGTTGGGCGTGGACGGTTCGGGGTGGTTGGGGGTCGGAAAAGGTGGTCGGGAAGGGGGGGTGCACACCTATGA